TAAAAAAAATTAATAATAATAATAATTGTATAATATAGTTGAACTCTGCACTTCATTTTGAAATTTCCTTATTGGAAGTTTACCTCCACTCTGTCAACTGCATTTAGATTTGATACACTCAAAGACTGGAATGTTGGTGTGGAAACATATGAAGTATCATTGTTCCACATAGAGGAATAAAACTTTATCCTCAGTACAGTTTTAAGGTCTGTTTCCGATTGGTGAAAGAAATGACTTTAATACTTTTGAAGCTATATCCCAGAGTGATATACAAACACTGCATGTCGACCTATGAAGGTTTGTTTTATATGTTTATAACATATAACTGAAACTAAAGTTCTTTAAAATATTCTCTATCCTTGCTCTATGTGAGTCATAGTGGTATTACCTATTGCATTTCCCTTTATTGTAAATGCTAGTTAAGATCTAGTGAAAGCTGGACATGTTGCCACATGTCTGTAGTCCCATCTCTGGGAGGCTGAGGCAAGAGGGTCAAAAGTTGAACCCAGCCTTGGTAATTTAGTGACTTATTAACACTCAGTCTCAAAAAAAGTTTTTAAAGAGGACTAGGGATATAGCTGAGTGTGAAGACCCTGAGTTCAATCCTCAGATCTGTGTGTATATGTCATCTGCTATGTGTAAGTACTCAGATACTTTCAGATTTGAGGTGCCAATTCAGTTCAGTTACATACTTTAAAATTCCAGTTAGAAGTACAATCTGATATAGTTTCTATACTTTACATAGTATGGCTTTGTAGTTTTCCTGAACCTCAGCCTCTGTTAAATAGGGCTTTTGTGTGTGAAGTTTAAATAAAATACCCATAAAATACATGACATGGTACTTAGCATTTAGTAAGTTTCAAGAAATTCTAGCTTTGTGTCACCAGCCTCAGCTGGGTGGCTTGGACTTGTGGAGGACTAGGGACGCTGGCAGTGCCTTCCTAGCATTCTTGGGATCACGATCGTGACAGACGTCTCTGGATCATGCCCTTAGTAAGGAAAAGGCTGAACAAATTGCCATAGAAACCATCTTTAAAAAAAAAAGAAACCATCTGTGCACCCTCTGTTGGTAAGAAGAGATTTTATCTCACACCGGGGGAGAAGGGGGAACATGCAACTTGAGAGCCCGCAGGTGGGAAAACAGACTGTGGAAATGGATGTCGTGTACACAGAGGGGTGCATATTCGTTTTATGCAAAGAGAAGTGAAGACTACTTTTCTACGTACTTCAGTTTAATCCCAGGAATAAAAGAGAGGCTGTGGAAAAAAAAGAAAGAAAGAAAGAAAGAAAGAAAGAAAGAAAGAAAGAAAGAAAGAAAAGAAATTCTAGGTGTAAATAATGATTGTTTTTCATCCCTACATTCAAAGTGCAGTTACTCTAAGGCTAGACCATTTTGTGATTCCTAGAAGCGTGTTAGTTGCCTCAGTGACTCTCATTAAGTACAGTTGACACAAAAATTTATAGCTTATATTCAGATCTTAACATAGCCAGGTTACTTTCTGTGCATGACTTTCACCCCTGAAGTGTTTTTACTGTTTTGCTCAGTTGCCTGTGGTCCTTTCACCCAATTGATACAAAAGGTAAGACAAGAATATTGTTCTACATACAGATAATTTCCTTATACTGTCAAATCGCTGCTGTTTTTACAGCTTAAAGAAACAAACAGCTCCCTAGTGGCATCTGTACACTTTTGTTCACTTTAGCATGACATGTATTTAAAGATCTAAATAACATTGGAAGGGCTGGTGAGATGGCTCAGTGGTCTAAGGCACCTACTTAGAACAAGCTGCAACAAAGCATATGGACCGCGGTTCAATCCCCCAGCACCACATGCCAGCCAGCCCGGCCCCCTGGTGGGCTGAGCTGGCCACACACACACACACACACACACACACACAAATAAAATTTTTAAAAAATTTAAAAAATAAATAAATAAATAACATTGGAAGATATATGAAGTTTTATGTTTTCTCTAGGTTGTGCTCCATCTCCAGGTGCTTATGATGTTAACACGTCAGAGCCACCCAAGGGCCCAGTATCCTTTCAGAAATCACAAAGATTCAAAAAACGAAAAGGTAATGGATTCCCCAATAAAACTTTTAAGGTTATAAATAACAGCACGTAAGTTTTAAAATACTGTTAGCATTTCCTTTCCTTCTTTCTTTTTTTAAGAAGGAAAGGTTTATTTAGCTCACAGGTTTTTTGTTTGTTGTTTGTTTGTTTGTTTGTTTGTTTTGCGGAACTCAGGCCCTTGCACTTGCCAGGGAAGTGCTTATTCCACTGCGCCATCTCCCCAGCCCTTAGCTCACAGTTTGTGGAGGTTTCATTTCATATTCCTTTGGCTCCAAGTCACATGGCAGAGGGCAACAGTTCACGGTGGCAGAAAAAAGCAAAAGCAACAAGAGCAAGAAAGAGAGGAGCAGCATTTTGAGCTTTGGGGTTGTTTTGTTTTGTTTTGTTGTTTCTAGGCATCGAACTTAGAACCTTGTGCTTGCCAGGCAGGCACTTATGCCACTGAGCTCTGTCCCAGCCGCTGTTAGCATTTCTAAAGATATAAAGCTAGAAGTATAGGTATACTTTCTATGGATTTATGAATCAGTTATAGAATAATGATTTCATCATTATGCCAAGTATGACCAGAAAAACACAGTGATGTAATATGTAATTTCTCTTTTAGTAATTACCTTAACTTTTCTGTCATAGAGTATTAGGAAAATCAGAAGACAGGAGATGTCTAAAAGTATTGTGCAGTTATTTGGAAATATACAATCAAGAAAATAACTTATTTCGGGGGCCCGGGGAGATGGCTGAGTGGAATAAGCGCTTCCCTGGCAAGTGCAAGGGCCTGAATTCAGTCTCCATTTCCGCCAAAAATAAAAAAATAACTTATTTCCTTAATAGCTGAAATAAGAAATTTTGAATTTGTGTTTTGTGTGTGGTTACATAATCAACAGTCCTCATTGGTACAATTTATTTTCCAGCAGAATCTCAACAAAACCTTAATGTTGACAAAGATACTACCGTCCCTGCCTCAGCCAAGAAAGCTAAGGCTTTGGAGTTAAAGGTGAGGAGCTTTTACAGGTTAGCTAATTTATCAGTTATATCATTGAAAATAGCTCTTCATTTGATTAGAATGGGTAAAGTCTATAAATCAAATATACAAGTAGATCTGTAAATTAATAGAAGGGAGCATTGTTAGGATTGTACAGAGTTTTACATTTTACCTAGATCATTACTAAATTTATTATTTAAGCATACCCATCATTCACAGCTCTACAGTGCTCTCCACTTCCTGGTTTTCTTTTTCATTTATTTATTTGTGTGTGTGTGTGTGGCCAGCTCAGCCCACCAGGGGGCAGGGCGGGCTGGCAGGTGGTGCTGGGGGATTGAACCGAGGTCCCTGTGCTTTGCTAAGCTTGTTCTAAATAGGTGCTTTAGACCACTGAGCCATCTCACCAGCCCATTCCTGGTTTTCTTTGTCTCATAGTTTCATATTACCTTATAAGCCTTAGCAAATTACATGACGCTTTGATTTGCCACCATTTGACTTATTTTACTTTCATTTGTGGGGAAGAGTAAATACTGATAAAGAAAAAGGGCAAAGAAAAATTCTAAAGCCTAAAATAAGGTTGCTATGCAGAAGCTGTTAAGGAGTCATGGGAGGCTAATAGTCTAATCTTATAGTCTACTCTTACTAATGTTTTCATTAGTTCATGAGCAGGAAATTGCTTTCTTAAGGAGTTGTACAAATTGATATTTTCATCTGACAAGTATTAAGTTGGAAATCCAAGGCTACAAGTTATGCTCTGACTGTTCATCCACATGACCGTTACCTAAGTAATTTTTTGTAATATACAGCTGTGTTGTCCAGTATAGAAATGAGTAGCTAAAAGTGACTAATCATGTGGAAAAATGAAAATTAAAGCATATGAAATGTAGCTAATACTACTGATAACTATTAATGTTTAGTGTTACTTATTTTTTAATTAATATATACTTTAAAGCATGGTCAAGGGCCAGAGATATACCTCGGCAGCACAGGTGCCTACCTGGCATTCGCAGTCTTTAGTTCAATTCCCAGGACCAAAAAAACAAACATGCAGTTCTGTTGGTGGAAAACTTTAAATGTTTTTAGAGTAAGTAGGGTATGTAAATCTCTTCTGTGTGTTTTGTTAATATAAATATAGCTGGGTATTTCTGATGAAAATTTTACATCTGAATTAAAATGTGTTATAAATATTAAATACAATGTGTGGAAGTTTTGTATGAATATAAGAAATAACAGTTTTAACCAATGACATGGAAAACATTATATTATGTAAAAATATAAAATATTTTACCTTGGGGCTGGTGAGATGGCTCAGTGGTCTAAAACACCTACTTAGAACAAG